ATATATTAAAATAATACTAAGATGCTATATACTTACCTGGTAATGATTGCTAGATGAGGAGGGTTCATGCATGCTCCCATGAAAAGTACCACGTTCTCATGTCGAGTCTGCCTGTAGTTCATCACCTCCTTTTTAAAGAGCTTGAGATGATCCTGATTGTTCCCGTCTATCTCCAAGAGCCTGATGGCCACTTCCCCGTGCCATTTCCCCTTGTAAACCTTCCCCCACCGTCCTTGGCCAATAGGATCCCCCAGTTCGATCTGTTCAAAGGGAATGTCCCATTCCTGCAGGTAGACGCTGGTCTGGCTAGGTTTGCGATAGATCATCCCTTGCAAGTGTGGCCGTCTGTTTGGCAAATCTTCCACCTCATCCTCGTCATCTTCAGGTTCCGATTTATTAGCCTCCGGTTCTTCTACCTGTTTACAAAAAGACAAGGGAAACACGTGCTGAGAGCCCCACCTGAGGGGCAGGAGCAGCCTGTGCCAGCCAGCAGCAGAGCCTGCTCCGGGAGAACTCAGGGGGCTGACGTATGCATTTGACCACAGCTCTAGAAATAGACCTCACAAGAGAAAGTCATCCAGAGGGCTACAAAAAGACATACATCTTCTGTATGTGAGTGCATGCAGGTGAAGACAAGAAAAGCTTTATCCCACATAGAGTTAAATTTGTAGAACCAGCACTAACATCGAGGGACTCGGCATCTCTCGCAATTTGGCCTTCCGTGTGGGGGAAAACACTACCGACCATTCTAAAAGGAAGGGTCAAGCACCTCTTTGTTCTTCAAGTAAATGTAGGTGCAGCTTTTTTTTTTTTTTTTTGAGATTACTAAAATTCTCCTGGTAGATAGAAGTGCTCTAAAAATCAACAAGCTTGATCCAAAATCCAGTAATTTCTGCCAAAATCAATTCTGTGCCTATTGGTTTACTCATCCCTACAGAAACCCATTTCAGTGTTCATACTACAAACTGAACGTGTGCTTGGGCACTACCAAAATCACCAGCTCTTGTGAATAGGTACGGAAAGGCTTTCCTATGCAAAAAATAAGCCCATGCTTTGCAGGATCTACCATGAGGTGGCACCTACACATGCATTACTTGCAGATTTGAGGTCTGCAGAGCATTTAGACCTCCTTTAGAACTCCAGCAGCAGGCCTGCAGCTCTTGTAATGTAAAAATGGCCATGCCAAACTGAGTGAGCCAGAAGTTTGAAAAATATCATCCTAGCCCAATTAGAAAAAGCTAATTATTGTTACAAGTACTTCATTGTTTCAGCCTGGTTACAGAAACCACAAATTTTCAGCTGAGATCTTGGCAGTAGAAACAGTTCAGTGGAATTGAGGTAAGGCACAGCTAGTCTACGTTCATAATTCCAGGGCCACAACTTTTTTATTGCACTTTGAACATGGCACTTCTGACTGTACAAAAAGGAAGCCAGAAAACCTACCTCTGCTTCACATTCGACTCCATCGGTCTCTGGCTGCTGATCAGCACTAACAAGAGAAGAGAGGTTTACAGTGAAAATAATGTTTGCGTATCCGCCCGAGTTAGAAAAACGGGCTGCTACATATGCCATTAGCGTAGTGGAAAGACACAAATAGAGAACAGCTCTTGGTAGCATTATAGTAGGTCAGGGAAAAATACAATTACTGCCCCACTTAACAGATAAGGACTTTCTAAGCTTCCTTTGGCAAATGAGGGACAAAGACTTTGAAGTGATTTTCAATAATTAAGTGGTAGGAATTGGTTTGGCAGTGCCATGGCTGTATCATTACAATGTTCCGGTAATGATACTCCTGTTCCTACTCCCGAAACACCCACAGCAGAGAAGCAATTGTGAGTGCTGGCAATGCAAGCTAAAATTCTACATGCATGTCCTACAACTCCGATCCTTAAAAAGATGTCTGCTTGCAGCCAAGTGTGCCATGCTCTTTTAATCGTAAAACTCTGTAACTTCTATTTCATCAGACCTTTCTGATCTCAGGAATGCACACATAATCATAACTAGATATTAAAGTAATGGATTTCTTACTGCCTGATTGAAAGTAAATATCATGTTCAGCTTTATAAAACTGGGAATACTAGTATCACCCTTGCTGTCTAAAAATCATCCTGTTGAGTTCTCAGATGGGAAATTCAATTTTGGTCGTAACATAGCCCTTCAGACTGATCTGAAGATTATCAGGTAAATGCTATGCAAATAAAAGAATTTAAAACTATACTTACTTAGTGTCTGCAGCAGTTTCTGTAGGTTGTGCTATTTGTGCAGGACTGGGAATTTCTGGGAAAGTAGAAACATTTATGATACATATTTTACACTTTAATCTCTAATAGATTGGAAGTTTTAACATTGCAATAGTAATTACTTCCTTCTTATTCAGAAATTCTAAAGTAAACTCAACCACGTATGATTTTATACTGCTAGTCATTTAAAACCGTGCTCATCTTTCCTGGTTACTTCCACGCCTACTGACGGAGCCCAGCCTTCTTCCCATTCACCTACTTATCTGTAATGTCTTTCAAGGTCAGTCCTTGTTTGTGAACTGCTCACACACCTTCAGGTTGCCTTGGACAATCAGTAATACTTTGGTCCTCACAGAACGAGGACGTTTGAATTCATCTATACCGCAGGCCATGTATTCCAACAGCACCTAGTCTGTGCAGTGTCACTAGTGCACAGGAAATTCAGCTTGGGTTGCAAATCCTTCCAAAATTCAGAATAAATACTCTGTACCTGGCATCCCACATCATCAATTCTCACTTTGGAAACAATCAAGCTGTTTCTAAGTTGGCAAGCTGAACAGTTGACTGAGAAAATGAGTTTATACATGTAAATTCACATATGAATAGTGTTTCATCGTTCTTAAATCCCAGAGCCGAGAGAGAGAGCGCCTCAGTTCATAAAGGGAGCTCAGCACTCCTGAACCAACAGTGTCCAGTTGTACTAGCTAAGTATATAACCCCAAAAGCGAGCCTTTTCACAGAAAGAACGTGGCTCTGGATAGAATTCCATAGCAGAAAGCTACTGTTTTACAACTGAATATTCCAAGTTTCACCTTAGTAAGTAAATCACATCACTACCTCATATTAGGTGAGAGAGGCCTGAATTATATACTGAGATAAGAGAAAGTTTTAATTGGTTTAGATACTTTTCAAAGCAGAATTATTGTTTTTGGGCAGCATGCAGAAGTTTACAAACAAGTTACTTTTTGGCAGTAGAAGCCGGTTAGTAGAATTAAAACAATCAACTCACCTGGGAAGACAAATTGTTGTCTATGCTGAATGTAGTAGGCAGCTTTTTTTAATTTTTTTTTTTAATAAAGGACAGCAAAAAAAATTATCAGGAGAAAAAAAACACAAACAAGTTAGAGGATCATCAGTAAGTGCCCCATATGCATTCAATGAATTAGTCCCAACTCACTGTTGGGAAACAGATTAGTAGATTATCAGCCTGCTTGAGGGGGTGAACTTCAGCACATGCATTTTTGGAAGACTGTGATAGATGATATTTATCAAATGAAAGCTACATTATCAATAAGCAAACGGTCTGGAGGGAAAACAACACATTCATTCAGACTTCAAGTGGCAGAAGCAAATTTAGAGAACCCAAGAATGGTAAAAGGCAGGCTCAGGTAAAAGCTGGTGCTTTGACGCTCTCGCATGGCTTCAGCTTTTCAGAGATGCACCCAGAGAAGCTGAAGCTCATGAACCATTTCCAAGCATATTTTTTATTTCAGTGAATTTGAACAGTATGTCCTAGTACAAAGTAGCTGCAGTAGAATCCTTGTACTAAACTGGCTCTGCTTCTGCTCCTTTTGAGTAGGCTAAAATAGCGACTTTCACTCACAGATCAAAAGCTTGCTGCAGAATACAGCAATGCTGAAAGCTAGAAGTAGCAGCTATTGAGCAGCATGTGACTTCGTTTCCAGATAAAAGGAATTAAATTTATTCTCACTATGTAAATCTTTGCCCTTGTCAGAGATTCTTGCTTCTATCAACTGGTAAAGACTGCACATTTGGGTCCTTAATTTGTAAAGTATGTAGGGTAAATTCTTCTCCACCATATGTGTATGTCAATAGTTTAAAAATGGGTGTTGATTGTTGGTTATCTTTTGGAAAGGACTGGTAAAGTATTTCATTGCAGTTCTTGTTTTCACCTTTTGCTCTAGCAATCAACTTACTCATGATTTAAAGCCACTGCCAACCAAACACAGCAAGCAGCATGCGTTTTACAATACAATGAGAAAAGGAAGGAGAAAATATAATTAACTTTTTTAGAGTTTGGTTTGTGGGGTTTTGTTGGGTTTTTTGTTTGTTTGTTTTTTCCAAAAAAGGAGAAAACAGAAAGATCAAATCATTTAAGAAAGGTACCAGCACTCCCTAATAATTTGTCTCCTGCTAAAGTATCTTGTTAATACCACTTAAAAATTTTTAAGAACAGACCATTTTATCAGGTAACAAGACATACCTTCACACCTTGCTTTAGACACAACCATGCATTCAGAAACCTGCAACTACCTATGAAGCTTGGTCAGGCCCTGCTTGCACAGAGGCCTTTCTGATCTTGGCAGAGGTCTCCTGAAAAAGCTAAGTTTACCTGGGAAGTTAAACCGTCCATCCCTCTGGCCCATAGGAGATGGGTTTGGGGGAGGTGTTGCACTGGGAGGGTTAGAAGACTGGAAAGGTGCTGGAGAAGATGGTGTGGATGAGGTTGTAGAAGAAGGATTACTGCTAGAGTCCAGATGATTTATTGCTGGTGGATGCTCCTGCAAGCAAGGAAGGTCACTTGTGAGAAAGCAATAAAAAGAAAGAATTCCCCTCAATGTTTACTGAACAACAGTGAAAGGAAAGCTGTCCCTAGCCTCCATCATAGTTTTGCTAAGCGAGCAGGCAGCTGGAGCTGTGCACAACCTATGTTTTACAAGAAGCGTCACATACCAAAGTCTTCTTGCAAAGTGAAAGCTCAAGGTGTCATTCTTGCCCCAACCAGCAAGGAATGGCTGCCACCTCTCCCTATTGTAGCTCCTCCGTGACTTATAGACACAAGACTCACTTCAGTCACCACGTACCTTTTTAGTTAGTGCTTTGGGAAGAGTTCCAAACTGTGGTTCTGTTGGTCTGTCTACTGGATTATTGATATCTGAAGGGACAGACTCTGTTCTTCTTATTTTTGTTACTGAAAAACAGGTTGGAGAAGGGAGAAAAAAGCTTTAATCAGACTTTTTATTCTTGTGATACCATCAATTACATTGAAATGCTAAGAACTTGTAGAAGATTACTTACTGGGAAGGAAGGATATTTTACAAGCAGGTGCCTCTTTAGTACATTTGTTGTGACATTTTAATCTGAAAGAGAAACATTACATGTTAAATAGCAACTTGTTCTTTCCCAAAAAGAGGAAGCCTACCCTTAATTTGTAATTCTTATGCTAATCTCAGAGGGAGTTCTGGAATGCTCCAGGCCCCAGAGCAGCAGGCATTCATATGAAGAATCCTATTATGTGTGTCATTAGGCTAATGAAATCCATATACATATCTTAGCATCTGATTTATTTTTAATACAGTTACCTTCACTGACTCTCATCCTGCAACACTGAAGCACTAAAATCTCAGCGTTCTGGACTAACAACCCAGAAAAGCAAAACTTAAAATCCTCGCTCTTGTTTAGGTATCCAGCTCCCACTACAAGATTTGCCCGTGATCAGGTAGGAAGCCTGTGGCAGGGAAATAAATTTGGTTCATCTATGTGTCAGGCTGCCAGCCTAAGTGTAAGTTGTGCCAAAGCATCCCTTTGCCAGTTCAGGAGCTGACTGGAAAAACGATGCCACTGTTAAGAGTGCGTCACGTCAAGAGATACTTGTCACTGGCAACCTTTAATGAATCAAATGCAAAGTTTTTCTGAAAAAGATCATCACTGTGTGCTCACCTGCAGTACTTACACTTCACCCCGAACATCATGCTTTTCTGACAGACTTGGCAAATCTGAGATAGCCAAGACTTTGTAGAGAACCTAAGTGGAGACAAGGGGGGGAAATTACGTTAACTGGTGTCTAAAGGGACATTCGCGTTTGTAGGTAGTTACAGACAGGCTGTGCTCCTTTAGCCCCTTCTGAAAGGGCAAGTGGTGGTGTGGAAAAGACTTCTCACATTTCTGATCAGAAGCAACTGAAAGTAGGCTGGCACCAACTCTGCTGATCTCTTGCTCATTCTCCACTCTTAGAACAGGGTGGAGAGGTGCTCAGAGGTGTCTGCCAACGAGACAGGGTGTGCATGGACACACATCTCTAGAACGCCCTCACAGCTGCAGCTCAGCAATTACAGATCTGAAGCCTCATGCAGCCAAAGATACCCAAGTGACAGAGTATCACTTCTTTTCATAAAAAACCCTCAAACTGGAATTGAGCTTCACCTCATGAAACAAGCACGTAATCTGAGAGGGGGCAGCCAGCAGACACTGCAAGTGCAGATCCAGCCCACGAGCATGCACTGCCCGTCAGTCCCTGGTGTCCCTCCTCAGGTCTCCAGGACGTGCCACTTACATTGTGGCTGCTTGTACATGGTGCTGCTTATATTCACCTCAACATCTTTGTAGCTCTGGGACCCAATTTATGGTGAGTGGGTGGTGGTGGGAATGTTATGCCTTTTACCAGAAAATTAAACAGATTGGTTTGTTTGGCATTAGAACTACCTAGCCCAGTTTTGGTTTGGATTTGGGAAGGGCGGATGCAGGAAGCCACGAGGCAGGGAAAGGGAAAGATATGCTCTTTCCAGGTAGGCAGGAACAGCTTCCCTTTCATTTGTAGCAGTGGAAGTGTTTCAGAAAAGGCATTGTTACACTTTGACATGCTTGTCCCAGCAGCCCGTACACAGCATTGCTACTGCTGGTACACTGCTCAGCCACGAGGGAGGGAAAGGGAAAGATATGCTCTTTCCAGGCAGGCAGGCAGGAACAGCTTCCCTTTCATTTGTAGCAGTGGAAGTGTTTCAGAAAAGGCATTGTTACACTTTGACATGCTTGTCCCAGCAGCCCGTACACAGCATTGCTACTGCTGGTACACTGCTCACTACGGAATCACCAATCAATTGGCTTTGTAAAAAGGACTGCAAATGCTGGACACATCAGTGATGTTTTAAGAAGAAATGAAGCTGAAATACACAGTTACAGCAAAAGAGGCACCCGAGCCACCTTCAAACCGATCTTCAACCGAGCAGGACGACCTGCTCCAAAGGCACTACTACACAGGACGCAGTCCTGGGCTGCCCCTCCGTCTGCTCTGTGGCGCCCGCAGCAGGTGCTGCTTACCTGTGTGTTAGAGCTAAGCCAAAGTCTCTTCGTACCGTTTGCGGGGATCCTTGGGAGAGTTCTGATGGAGAACAAAAGGACGTTTTAGGGAAGCAGTACCCACAAGCGGTGCTTACCAGTCTAGACAGAAACCAAGCGATTGCTGCCATAGACAAGGACTAGTAGCCATGGCACTGTTAGTAGCACAGCTGAGACTGGTTTCCCTTTTGCTGTAAAGCTATCAGATACTATACTACTCTTTTATTTGTTTTCATATGGAGGCAATGTAAGATAAGATTTGGTGGTAGAATCATAATTCTTCCTTCTTTTTGTTAAATCATTATGTTCTACGTTTAGGGATTACAGAAGTCCATCTGAGTAGGTCCAGGCCATTCTTAAAGTAGAAAGTCAGACTTTACTCCCAATTAGTTTACCACAAATACCATCACCTAGTTTTAATGCAGTGTCAGCAGACTTCAGAATATTCTTTTACAATGCAAATTATTATCCGCATTTTATAGATAGGGCCAGTGTGACCCAGAAGAATAAAAAGATTTATGTGAGATCATTTAACTAGCTAAGTGCAGAAAGGGAGACAGAGGCTTCAAAATGCCAGTCCAGTGCTCCAGTGGTTGTATCACATAACTTCCTGAAAACTCTCAAATACTAACATTCTGGCATATTTCTTGAATTAACTCTATAGCCATACTGCAAATCTGGAGAAAACTCAAATCTGCAGGCATCAACACAGCTTCAAAGCTGGACACTGTCAATGCTTACAAAAAGTCAGTCTCTTTCTTTGACCCTAGGTGGCACCAGATTCTTTTTTTTATCATTATTCCAGTGAACTTTTAAAGGTATCTGTGGTCTTCATCATCTTAGAATGGGCTGGAATGACTAGTTGCTTTTCCAAGGAATATTGCTGATCTAGCGTGGCCATCCAAATGCAGAGTCATCTGAATTAATCATAATACAACAGTTAAGATGGCTGCTAACATCAGTTAAGATAGCTAAAGCCTTACTGAAGTCCTAAGGAATATAACAAATTCTGGAATTGAATGGGATTTAGAAGAGCCTACAGTATAGATTTTAAAAGGGACAATATGACTACATGCACGGAAGCACTAAAATTTTTCATTTCTGCTGGAATTTATTGTAATGCCTTTTTTATTTATTGTGTAAATTCTTATCGCTCTCCACAGAAAAGCTCAGATTTCTGCTTGCATTTTCATTTTACAATTTTCTTTCTATGCTTTTTTATTTCTGAAAGTAATTCCTGGGAATTTTGTTTTAAAGGGCATTACATACACATGTGGTGCTATAATGTCCTTATTTGGACTTCTATACTTTACAAAAAGGTGAGACACTTTCCAAGATGCCCATATCTCTCCACGTTAGCTTCCAAGGTTACAGGGTGTGTCTGTGAGACACACACACACACAGTCACATCAGGATAGCTACAACACTGAATGGCATTGATAATTACTGGATAAAAGCACAAGTCCCAGTTCTGTAAACCCTTAAACACATGAACAGACTCAGCAACATGAGAGGAAGTATTCCACATTTAAGCACATGCTGAAGCATTTCTCAGAAGGTTGCACACAACTAATTTAATTACAGAGATACTTGGCAATGAATATCCAAAGATACTAAGTGGTTAGGTACGACATGATTCCCAGTACCAAGAGGCACCAGTAACAGCTGTCTGAAGTCACAGACAAGCAAATACACCCAAAGCCCTTGCTTTAATCCTTTAAACACCAGTATTCATTTTCCTTGCTTTTGTCATCTGAAGAAATACCAGGTACAAAAAAGACCATGCAAATATCCTGCAGTTCTGCAGTAGGCCACACTCCTGTTAAAGATAACAGAAACTCTGGGACTGAAGGCCCTATTGAGGACCTCCAGAGGTTGCAGAGGAATGATCAACAGATAGGTGTCAAGGACAGGCTCTTCTCTCTCAGCAATGAAATGAAGACAGCCCTGTAAAAATCTCTTACCACACCTAGAGAGAAAAAAAAAAATGTTTTTTAGACATTCATATTTATGTGACAGGACACACACTTTAATAGAGCAGAAACTCTTTCCTGCAGCATTTGTTGTCAGGTTTACAAACATCTCTGGTTTTGCACAGGCTCCTGAAGTCATGGCATAACCAGTATTTTCCTGGTCACAATGGCAGTCTTTGCTGGGTAGAGCTCCAGCTCCAGCCTGCGAGTGAAGTGTGCAAGAGTGCACCTGAATTTTGGCTTGCAGACGAGAAGTGTTAGTGTGCCTGCACAGCTCAGTCAGCTGCAGGCTCCGTGGAAGTGCCTGAATCACAGAAGTGCTACATTTTGCACTTCCTATCTGATTTAATCAGCAGGACCTGAATCACTGCAGAACCAGGTTCTTATCACTGAATTTCGAAACAAAGCTGTGCATTGGCCACAGATCTTTCCAGTTCAAAGTCATCTTTTTCATCCATTCATACATGGAAACTCTTTGCTTGCTGCATTTAGAGGTTTAGCAATTTGCAGGTTTTAGGATATACTTCATATGCACTCACAGTGTGGAAGAATACTGTGCTGCTTACAAGGCCACACGTTTATAATGAACTCTTTCATGTCAATCAGCAGGCAATACAGTACTGCAGCATCAAAAGCACAGCCCTTTGCTGGTAATTCTCACACCCAAAATCTCAACTCCATTCTGAGCTGGGCTAGTTTCCCTTTAATAAAAATGTAATCTTGCAACAAGGTCCCAAGTAGAACACGTGATTTGAGCTCTTCCAGCTCTGTAATCACAGAGTTAGGGTAAACTGTAATGGTTCAGTGCCTGCTATAGAATTTGGATGCTGACCTAAGTTTCTGCAACATTTAGGGATAGCCAGAGTCTTTGGAAGGCACATTTCATTCCCAGTGTCAACTATGAGTTAAATGTTAGATTAATACCTTCCCATCCTACCTACACAAAAAAAAGCATATCTCGAAGCCTGGATCAGTCCAAAAAAGGTGTAGCCTAAGACCATTTGCCTTGTTATGGAGCTACAGTTGTAATAAACATGTTTTAAAGCTCAAGCTAGCAGCTAATGTACATCTTCAGATAAAAACATAAAAGGATACCAGCCACCTGAACTACAAGGAACATTTAAGGACAGAAGGGAATTACAGTATGTGGAACTGGCTACTAGATGCTTGAGAAAAAGTAGTTGGGGCCTTTTAATAGCAACAGCCATCCCAATCTCCCCAGCGGGTGTAATTTGAAATAAATTCAAATAAATTTCAAGTAAAGCACACTATTAAGAAGCAGGTTTTGTGGTTATCTTAGAATAGCCTGATATAGATTCTCAGACTACAGTGAAACCATGACAAGGCAACTGGACACCAGCTCTTTCAGAGTCAGAATTGGAGCACTGAACGCCTGTTGGTATGAACACAGCCCACCAGTGACCGTGGGGAAGGAGGAAGTGTCATGCTTACTTTATTGGAGGAACTTCATCTATCCTATTTCCCAACTGTGATTCATGGGACTTGCTTCTTGTGAGGGTTGGAAAGTTAGGTAGCAGCTGAAAAACCTTCCGGCAAGGGGGGGGAGGAGTCCGTGGTGGCTTCAACTTATGCCGTCTCTTCGTTTGAGGAGTGGTTGGTGGAGTGATGGTGATGCTATGAGGAGTCCTTGGTGTTAACCTTCCACTGTGTGCAGGGAATGCAAAAGGGTCCAGGAGGTTTTCTGCATAGGTAGAAGGTCCGTGACTCAAGGCAAGAGAATCTGAAGATGGGATTGTAGATACTGACACAGAACGTGCCTGCTGGCTGTTGCCCTTGGGAAGGTGCAGTGCAGAGGGAGTCCATGTGGGCGCAGAGGAGCAGGGGAATTCGGTCACGTTGGTAGAGCTGTTTTCTCGGCGTGCCTCAGAAAGATTCATCAGCACATCATCTTTTAACTCCCCACCTGTGCACCAACCACAGCAATGTTAGTGACTGGCTAAAAAGAAAAGCCACCGTATATACATATACCACATCGTGCTGCTTTAGGCTATAAGGTGTTTTTTTGCCCCCGCTTTGCACCTAGCCAAGGTGCAAGCCTAGTTCCTCCTCCCCTGACACCCATCTAAGCCATCAGCTAAAGTAACCTTTAAACGGAGAATGGCAGTAATTACCCTTCTTTCCTACCTGTAGCTATGGATCTCAAAAGCTAAAATCGGGTCCTACGCTCTAAGATGTGCTGAGTTTTAACAGATTGGGGCCTGATTGAAGAAAGTGGGATATACACACCTGCATAAAAGAGGCACCCACATCCCAGTGCAAACCTATGTGGCTTTGGTGCCAATCTGTTGAGACACATCTGTACATCCAACTTGGCACCCTGTCTGCTTTTAGACTCTTTAAAAAAAGAAACTATTTTCTATTAGCCAGCAAAACTGCTAAATACCACTTAAACTGAGAAAGGCCATTAGATTGGAAATAAGGTGTATCTAGGAGCTCCTGACACTCATTTGGCCCCTTTTCTCTCTCTCTGGCATGTAACCAGTGCCTAGAACTCACCTGGCACCTGGAGCTCTGGGGCACTGCTGTTCCATTACAGGCAGCAGCAGCACTCAGCACAGAGTGTTTGTTCAGACTTTATTAGAGCTGTACCAGGGACAGACAGCTGGACAAAAAGGAACCACATCCTGCTGGATAGCTGGTGGAGCCCAGCGCTGCCTTCTACAACGCCTAGCACTGTAGTTCAGAATGGTCCAGCACAGCTTGTAGACCAATTCTGGGTACAAATGGGGAAAAACTGTACAAAGGCCTGCAGGCAGCAAAGCGGGAATGCACAGATTGTTGGGATAATTTCAGAGGCTTAATTCATCAGGATAACTCTCTGGCTTAATTTTAAGTATGTCCTTAATGACTTAAATCATGGTGAAAAGTCAAAGCTTCAGGGCTCGATGTCCTGTTGACCAGTCAGTGGTTGAAAAGAGATGATATACCTGGATTTTAAAAAATGCCATTTCATTATAATAAGTGAATGCCATGACTTCTGAACGATGGCTGGTTCTGCCACAGTATGGATGGGAAATATTTGACAACTCAGGACAAGAAAGATTAGAAAAAAGGAAGTATGAAACTGAGCTGTTTGCTGACTTTTCCATTAACTAATCTTTATGATTTGCAAATGGTATGAACTGTCATAACACCAACAGGAAACATCACCTTTCAGTGACTGATTGATAATTGTTACAAAGAAAAGATCTGATGCTTGTTAGTACCAGTAAGCTGTGAGAAACACTCCCGACCAAACAGATTTTAGAATGCCGTTGAAAGGAGCCTGGGAGGTGAGAAGGGGAGAAGGTGAAACAGTGCTGTGGGAATCTTGAGCTTGACTGATCTTAAATAACTTGATCAGATCCATTTACATGCTGAACCTAGGCATTTCTAACTACACGGTACCCTTCTTTCCATAATTTCAAGGTAAATCGGGGTTCTTTCTAGGTCTTGAATCTGCTACTGGAATTTGGCTAATGATTCTATCAATTCTAGCAGTCAAAGAAAAATAGCAGGATGCAAGTGGTTTTAAGGAGAAATTAATCAAATGGCACACTACGAGCTACACAGTGATAAAGGGTTGTCAGAGCAATGTTCTTCTCTTCCAAAGCGTTGAGCTGAACAACACTCAGGCTTCTGAGCAAAGTAATGCCAAACAGAATTACACCTTCTCTCTGCGCCAGCAATATTTGGGGAGGGGATTACCTTCTAGAAATCTGCTTGTATTCGTTAGGTCAAGGATGAACTGGAGGCACAACTCTGAACAGAGAGGGAATAAGGATAGAGTCTATTGAGTAGGAGAGGATATTTTTACGTACATTTATTTCCATTTATTTATTTATTTGACATGCTGTCAAAACCAAATCCGATCCACAGTTCTAGATGCCTTTGATCACTGCAACTTCACATACATCCAAGAGCCATAACCTGACCCTGGTTACAGAATATACCCAAAGACATTCTCTAGAGGTTTTTGCAGATTGTCTCATATGAAAGGAAGCAGGATGGGGCTGGGTTGCTGAGAAACTGATTCCATAGAACAACAAGGCAGTCTGTACCTGATGCAGTCACCTTCCGTAAGCAGCTCAGTGCCCCGTTGAGTCTGGAGCACTCCTCATCTCTGGCACCACATCTCTTCATTGTTTCTTTCACCTTTGACTCATTCATTTCTAGTAAGGCATCTAAGGTTAGCTCCTCTGGTATTCTCTGCAGAAAAACAAGATGATGCATATATTTTTTAATATACATAGATAAATAAGATTGTCACTTGTTATTCTGATGTACTTTAAATAGTGCCCCTGTCTCACTGCCTGGTCTGACTCATGATTTACTCATTTTGGTAGTGCATATCTCTCAGGGATCACTGGGTCAGTAACGACCACGCGGCAGATCTCAGCAGCGCTCAACAGCTGCTCCCCCTCCTCCCTACACCATGAGAGACCAGGCATATGCTCGAGGGTGCTCTGTATCATTAGGATGTTATGGTCCTTCTCTGGTGTTTTAGTTAGGATTAGAGGTGACTGAAATATTCCTCTCCCCTTGTGGAAAGTTTCCACTCACTATTTTTGAAAAGCGACTAATGAAAGCTTAACTTTTTCATTAAAAATAGCAGTCAGAAACAAAACAGGCCTAAAATCTGAAAAAATGTCAGATAAAGATGTTTGGCTTTTCAGTAGGGAAGTGAAAAGTAAAAACAGGGAGGAAAATAACTTCTTTTGTTAAACAAAAATCAATGTTTTGACAAAGAGATAGTGACCTCCTCAAGCAATTTTTCCTTCATTAGAGAACCTGCCTTACCCATATCTTGCTTAGAAAGATATTTGTACAGAACTTCTTGTATGTCTTAATACACCAAAGCCCCCAAAGTGACCAGGTTTCGATCAGGCAGACACAAAAGATACAGGAGACTGGGAAGCATGAAATGATCTGGTATTTCCTGACACAGAACTGAGCTGTGTTGCCTCTCTCCTCCCCATTCAAATGTGTCCAGTGTAAGTAAGTCTGCACAATTGTGGTTAATAAACAAAACCAGGATATTTAGCCCAGATACCCAGGAATTTCCCTGAAAGTTTTGCCTAAACAAACCTCACTGCTGCCTGCTCTCACAATGAGATCACAAATTTCACAATATTTGGCCTCTTTCCTAAGGTTTCAGCTCCTGGAATCAAGCTATATAAATGGGTTTCAACTTTTGTTTGAACGGGAAACTCACAAGTGTGTCTCACTGCTTGGAGAAACAAAAACCTTCAAATCCTCTAGATTCTTAAACTCCATTTCCGACTATAAATCAAATTTCAGTGTTGTTGAATGTCCTTTAGCAATCACATCTTTCTTAATCCAGACTCATGCCTTTGAGATCTGACACATGACTTTTGATCTTAACTGTGACAGTGCTAGAAATAGCCCCAACCTTTGGAGCTTTGTAGGTGGTAACACAAAGAGTAATCACATAGTTTCCATTTTTAGTAACTGTTGCATGGAGCAAAGCAAATTAATAAATTAAGAAAGGGCAGAAGTCTAAGAAGTGCATTCTGCATCTACTGTCACATGCCCTGAACCGGATGAAACACAAAACACAGCTGACTCAAGGAGAGGCCAAGAATTTCAATGAGCAGTAAGCAGAAAGCAGGTCCATAGTAGAGCCAGAGTTCAATGAAGTTTGGGTAAATTTCCTGTTCTTCTAGAATTAATATTAGCAGAATAACAAAAGCACAGATATCCCACCTGATGCTGAGTATGATTATTCATTTTTCTGCACACTTGCACCACCAAGATGCAGGAGTAAGACTGCCCCAAAAAACTTGTTCCTGAGTGACTTCTGCTTGGATAAAATGCAGGAAGCACAAAGACCCCAGTGACAATACGGTGCTGAATCTGCTCTCCTGGGATTCCTCACCTGATACTACACTCCAAAGGACAAAAAAACCCCAGGGGTTGAGATCATCTGAGTTGAACTTGGAATGGGTTTCCACAACTCAAATATTCCAACATATAGCCAGTACACATTTGCTCACACAGAGCCCCAGCCAAACTGGGCTATAACAGAATTAAACCAAGTCCCTCTTATCGTTAGTTATTTCCCCAGCATCCCCTGCATTCTTCTCCCCTGCACGCAGACGGGCAGCTCACAGAAGCATCTTTGTTCAGTGATATCACAAGGGCGGCTCTGCGATGCAGGACGTCAGGACACAAGCAGCTCTAAAAGGGACAGGGACTGGGGGCAAACATGGAGCGAGTTTTAGTGTAGTACGGAAGAAAGTTTTCTACACCACCATGGCTGGTGGTCTGGAGCAGGGAAGCTAGTGTTTCCCCATTAAGCATAAGGGAAAGCCAATGTGTCTTAAAAACATTTATCCCATTTCATGCTTTTACATGGTCTTAGAGTAAGCGGGATTACAGCGATGTCATTCCTGAATTATCTTGAAACATCTCCTCACCCCCACCACTCCCCACTAAGAAAACAACTCAGATTACGTAGCCACTGCTTCAAGCAGCAGCATCGTTCCGGATCCCACTATAAGTTCCCAAGTCACGTTACCCAGTATCACCTCACTTCCCTATCCTTTGCACGACACAATGTAACCAGTAACTTATTAGAGCTATTAGTAAGTCAATCAGTAAAGTCGAAGAAACTAAGATTTCCTCGGGAAAGCAAAACTTTTCCACCACAGCCAGTTCCATGGCCCAGACTTCATACGGCCAGCACAAGCATCCCTCCCTGGGGTGGGGCTGGTCGCAGCGCCGCCGGGGATCTGGTTTCTCCAGTGCCTGGCTCTGCAGCAGGACCCAGAGTGACAGGCATTGCCAACCGGCAGCGCTAACGCTCAGGGCAGTGACCGGCACAAGAGGTAGCAAGGCTTGGCAGCAAACAACATTTGGGCTGGCAGAAACACTAGCGAGCCACAATGCTTCGTAAAAGCAAGTGTGGCATCAGATGCTGAAAAACGTTCTCCCTGCCCAGTTTAGAGATCACAGGAAAGTCAGTAAAACAAATATGAATAAAATTATTTAAAATACCAAAACACAGAGGCTAGGAAAAAAAGGAGGAAATCAGTCTGGGCAGCAAGCCTGTGTCCACTCAAGCGGCCAGCATGCAGTCAGGTTCTCTTCTGTCTGTTCTCCTTTTACAAGGAGGGCAAAGTACAGCAGTTAGCTAGGGCAGATGCCACTGCACCTTTGACAAGAGCCCTGTACCTCTACAGTTAGTCCTCGGTGGAGTAAGAAATGGGCTACTAGGCTTTTGCACTGAAAAAAGTATATACTGAGTGTGTGCTTCACTTTGTATCAATAAGGCAGAACTGACTACTTTAACTTACCCCAAATTAGCTCTCCCGGTTGTGATGTACAGACAAGGCTTAACTGGGGAATTCCCATTCCCCTCTGTAAGAGGTATGTGGAATGGCATCCAGGCTCAGCTCCTGGGTGTAACAGCAGGCACACTCACTGCTCCCAAGGCACAACTCACAAAATTGTGGAGCTCACAACCAGTACAGCTGCCCGGGGACGGCAGGGATGGGGTGCTGCAGTGTCCACGGCATGGGCCTGGGTCCTGCACAATGGTGGTCAGAGCCTCACAGGTCTTTCTCTCGGGGAGCACAACCAAATGTTTGCTGGCACAGAGAACTTAGCTGTCATCTTTGTCCACGACTGCCTCTTCTTGCAAGTCTGATCATGTTTAGTGCTTTTCTTTTTTAAAGATCAAACCCTTGCAACCAGGAATCCCCAGCTTTCACTTTTAATTTTCAAGCCTTCCTTGTTGCCAAGAAAAACCTTGAGAACAATTTTTTAAAAAAACTACAAAACATTCCAAACTACTGAGCTTTTTAGAAGTGTTAGGGCACTTTTTCCTTTGTCTCATTCATTTGCAGGACACAATCACTATGGCGGGCTTGAACACCCCTAAGCTGACTGGTTTCACTTCCTTAAGCAGGTCTGCCCTACAACTCAACGTGTGGCCTGCCATGAAAAGCTAGAATGGTTCACCCAAGGCACAACTGAGCAGCAAAGGGCAGCCCCAGCTCTTCGCTGCCAGCTTTGCTCTGTATCCCTACCACGATCTCACGCGGACACGACCCTGACAAAGGGTCCAGCCTGCTGCTAGCTTGCCCCCTTCCTGGACCTGCAGGTGAAGTCCAATCTTCTCTTTTTGCTCAATAGTTTAATTTTAGAAAGACAGAATAGCAAGTTGTAGGCAAGTATAAGTACAGAAAAGGAGATTATATTTAAACAATCCCAATGACCTTGAGCTGGGAGAGCTCAGACTTTCTGAACCTGCTGCCAGGCCCCATAACACGCGACAAAAGAAATAAGCCTTAAAACGGGGGGGGAGAAGTAAGAGGCTTTCTTTAAACAGCCACTCATGTGCTGCACATATGTGGTGGCTTAATATAAAACTGGTCAACCTGATCCCTGTACAATTGGCCTGATATGATTTAGCTCTGTGTTAGCCCCCCAGCCAATGTGATAATGATGAGGGTCACTAGTTCATGATGGCTCTTAAAACAGGTTCCGTTGCTGCTGGTGCTCTGGCTCAGCTGCTGAGTTGGGGGGAAGAATGTCCCCTGCGAACGCCCTGACAGCATCCATCTCAGAGGAGCACGTGGTGGGCTCCAACCCCCTCAATGGAAGTGCAATTCTGGGCCCTTGCAAAGGGGTTACTCCAAATCTTCAGCACTGAGGGTGACAAATGGGGGTCCAACAGACCCCTCTCTACCTGCTGCTTCATGGGTGCTGTGGCTTTAAAAAATACAGCTTTAAAGATATGCAGCTTAAAGGCTCACATTAGGGCCAAGCTAAGTACCATCATCCTGGGCACACCTTGCCTTGACTACAGAATGACAGGGAAAGTTGCAAGATACTCAGATACTACTCTAATAATAAGGTCAGATTAAAAAGAAAGAAACAGCAGGAGGAGACAGAACCTGCTTTCAATCTTTCAGCACCTCAGAACTCCAGCAAAATCTAAAGCCTTACTCACACCACACATTGCTCAGCAGAAGTGATGCTAAAAAGCCCAAACCAGGAAATTGTTCCTCTCTACAAGAGGTAAGAGGAGGACTTTTCTACAAAGCTCTCCTGCTTATCAGATTTACGGGCTGTGCACTTCATGGTACGCATGTTTAAAAGAGAGAAAAGTAAACCACAGTGTATCCAAGAAGCCATCCAAAGGTTAGCCTCAATTAGTCAGGGTGAAGAGTTCACAATAG